AAATTTCTATACCACATTATATATAAATTAAATTGCAGTTAAAATAAAATTAATCGATTTTGTCAATTACGTTATTTTCTACTTGCCCAACTAAATTTAAGGTAATTAAACTTTACCTACTTCAAATGATTGGTCGTCAGATAAATATCTTCATTGGCAGATATTCAAAAGCCATCGATTTCCATTAGGAGCATTTTAATGAATCATCAGAGTCGTTTAGTGCAATAACTGCAAATTGGCAAAACTAGTAAATGGCAAGTCCCAAGCAATTCAATTTAATTTACCTCACTGAGGATTTTATAAATGTGCTGCATAATTAAAATTACACACATCGTTGGAGTAGACAATCTGGTTGAGATTGTCACAGCAAACTGCAAATTCGTAATCAGTTTGTGCAGTACACCTGGCTAGAGTTTCTTATATTTGTAATAAAAGAGTTAAAGTAAAATGAAGTCAATAACTTATTTGAAACATGAATTTTAACATTGGCATTAAAAAATATATAAAATGGTCCGAATCAAAATAAGGGACTCCATTGGAATGTAAAAATATTGGCAATTAAAGAGATACATTTTACAGCATTATTGTAGTTGAACCACTTTCTTTTAAAGGTTTCCATTAACTTTATAAAGCAAAAGTGATGAGATTTCCTCCAAGATAAACGTTATTTAATTTCCCTTTTTATATTAAACTATCACAGAAGAAGAAATAACTCTTCCCCATTTTGATTAAAGCTTGAAGAAGTAAGTATTTACTTACTTTCTGAGTGAAAGTTTTTTTTGTTCATTTCATAAACATTATTTGGGATTTACTTATAAAATGCAGACACCACAAAGTCTTTAGTGTCTTTTCCTTCAGCTCTATTATTAAATTTTCCTAGAACTCATCAATGTGCCTCATATGCTGGCAGCGCGCAATATTTTGTCTTAATATGTTATCCGTACGGTACTAGCTCAGTGTGGGTAAGAAGTAGCAATACGGCGAGAGTATGATAAACTATCTGCAGTCCTGTTAAGCAGCCTCATTAATCTTATTCAATGGTTATTGTACCATTCCAGTAAAACTAAGCAAGCAAGTAAGTTAGCAAGCATTACCAGTGCCGGTTGCTCATCGCTGCTTCGCCATTAAGCCTGTCAAGCCTCGTGTCATTTAGTTGTTTTATGACCCGTTGTTGATTTTGTAGCTTGGAGCAAGCAGCATGCCGGAGTGTAACACCTTGATGAAAAGTGTAGTCAGCATTAGTCAGCAGCATGGAGTCATTTATGTCACTTACGTGTTCTCTGTGGTTTACTGTGCAGTAATTTTAGTTACCTCTGCTTTAAAAATCAAAAACAAAAAAAAAAAAGAATAGAAGCTTGGCTTAGTATGAAAACACATATGTGCGGCGTTGATTAGTTCTTTTATATGCAGAGTACACAAGTTATTATTATTGCATATTTATGTTTCTACCCCTTTTAATAGAGTTTCTAGTTAACCTAGATTTTATATAATTATGAGAAAATTATTTTTAATTTACAATATTACAGTTACCACTTAAAATATATTACAATATTATGCATTATTAGTTATTTTGGTCTTCCAGTTGTAGCTTTCGTTGATGTTGCATAAATACAAAGCTGAGCAAAATTGAATTATTGCCTAGAGAGCTGGTGGTCGTCTGCTAAGTGACAAGATTTTAAGTCCAAACAGTCAGTTTCGCCAACTCGATGAGATTCACATTGAATTTTTGCAATATAGCACGGACCTAAGGTGGCAAAAAACTTGACTTGGACGACCAAATAGTGTGAATCATCTGAAAATATAATCTTTTGGTCCTGCGACTCTGTGTTTCGTTGATGTTGCAGTAGTGAAAGGATAAAACAAATTGCGATATAACATATATGGGAGAACGTCACATTATTATTTAAAACTAGTCTTTACGGGTCTTATATAGTTTGCAGATTCAGAGAAAATTTTAGTCTTAATAGGCAGACGTACTACAAGAAGAAGTATTACATTCAATGGCTACTATAAAATCTGTTCCGACAGGTGAAAGATAAAACCTTCATTTATCTTTTATTCTTTTGGCGCGGAAAGCGAAAGAAATGACTATACAGATAACATGATATTGATCTGGAAGATATCAGTTTATATGTAATATATCGTATGTGGTCAACGTTGCTTTAATAATGAAACTATAATTCGTGACGTCAATTGCTGCTATTGTTCTTGTTGTTGTTAAATATGTATGCGTGCATTACCAATAATTATTGTAAGTAAATATTAAGAAGTTATCTAATATTTTAATAAATATTTTTTTAATAAATATAAAAAATAAAATATTTCAAATAAAAAATGTTGATTTAAAACCATGGAAACGATTATTTTAAGTCAGCATTACACTCACACGTCAAATTCAGTGCCATTTAAATACATTTGTTTAAGGAGTATTTCCAGGAATTGGTAAGTAGTTACTTTGTTCATATATTTTACATCCTCAGCACTTAATTGACATACAAACAAATTGTGTTTCCCTACAAACAAACCACATTTTCGAGTACGTAACTAACTTTAATTTAAAAAAAAAAAACATAGAACACATATACTTCATGCCATTCTATAGACTATATGGTTTAATTTGTTTTGTTTGTGTGTATATATAGTATGTGTTGTGGGCGTTTGTTTCAAATGTACCTGGTGTTATAATGTATCTGACCGCAGACTTAATTCACAGACACGCCGGTTTAAAGCCCGACACTGATGTTAGTATTATAGAGGTTGGATAAGCGCCATAAGTTGCATATGGCAACATTAAAGAAACACCTAAACGTACTCTAATTTGTAACGTGTCAATCAACAATTTTTTCCGACCTTTTATACTTTTTTTTGTGTAACCGTAGTAACAGTAGGGAAAATGTTTTTTTGTATAAAAATTACTATAGAACTCCAAGGAACACAATACGAGTAGAACAACCGCCAGAAGCAGCATCGTCACCAACATTTACTTAACGATAAACTACAGAGTTGCAAACGACAACGACATTGTTACATATATGTTCGGAGTTATACGGTGTTAACCCCTTCTTGTACGACGGGACTATTATATGTCTCAAGAGTGCATTTGCGGTTGAAATTTGAGCATGCCTTTAACATTTTGAATTAAAGAAAAATGTTTTAAAGCTAGAAAATCAGTTTATATCTGCTAGACTTAATATTTTACTGTGACGACAGCAGTGCTGCGTTAAATGTAGTTTTAGTTATTAACTCTAATGTGCAACCAAAGTTGCATTCTTTTCCGCTTAAGTCAACTCAGTTATAGAGTTTTGTGTATTCTATACATTCTAGAACATTATGGCATAATTTTATTTTAATTTAAATCACATATAAAACAAATTTTTGTTTATATATTCTTTACATTTTTATATATAACGTTACACCAACGTTAAAGTTCATTTTGGGTTCATTTTTTGGAGTAGTGTGCTAGTAAGTCTTAACGAAATTTATTATGTGCAGACTACTGCCTGCATTTGTTGCAATCACATGATTGTCAACATCAACAACAACATAATGAGCTTCAACACCATCAATTGCAATAGCAGTTCCAAGTGGGTTTGTAGTTAGATATACAAAAACCAGTGCATAGACACTTATTTGTCATTAACCCCAGCATTAACAACATACGCAAGGTTTAATTTTATTTTTGCAGCTTTTCTGGGAAATTAAAATATATTAATTAATTTTTAAATTTTCTGAAAATAACTCTTTTATAAATAAAAATAGATTTTATAGTCCACTACGATTATATGGTTGAACGAACTTAATGAATTAGTATTGTTTAAAGAGTATGTATTGTTTTCGATCATTGTTTCATATTAGTGGTTGGTTCCTATAACAGGTACTTCAAATCTCAGTTAAGACTGAATTAGTTGTGCCGTAAGAAAACAGCTGAAATAAAAAAAAAGAAGAGTGTGAATCAATTAAATTTTTGTTTCTTGACGTATACATAGGATAAATTTGATATCAGCTGATGATAGAAACAATCAGCAATTGCATTGTATTTCTTGACGTGCTAAATGTATCGAACTTATGTTATTTGTGATTTTATGGTGTCTTGCTTTTTTAGAACTACATGACTATACACTTTTACTCAAAATTCAAAATTTCTAGCATTCTTAACATTGCTTTTTATTCATTCTTCATTTTCATGTTAATTTCCAATTCTATATTAATTATATATTTTTATGGAATTCTATCCTTTCCAAAAACATGAAATTTGACAGATTGTGCCAATATGCCAACAGTGCTGCCAATCTTTCACTTAGTGATTTTAGTGTGCAACTTGTAGCTCTTTTGTCACTTTTCGGTGTTGCCGAATGCACTTAATATAAATGCATAAAAAATTAAACGACGTCGCAGAAAATGTAAAAACGCTTCTTACAACCGAGACGAAGTTTAATACATAACAGCTCGATTAAAGTTATGATTAGTTATTATAAAAAATTAATTCTTTTTTTTTTACTTTTTATTCATATTTGAAGTTATTTTATTTTGAAATAACTAATTCACAAAACCTTAGAAGTTAAATAAATAATTAAAGTATGGAGTTTTACACCAACGCTACTCCTTCCATTTTTTGGCAAATTATTGCACACACTATCATTTAGTTACTATTAAATTGGATGCTAGAAATTTCCGTTTGATGTCATTAGCATGGAAGCAAAGAACAGATAAAATTAAATCAAATTTGGGTTCATTTAACATATATTAGGGAATAGTAAGGAATATATTTAACAAGTTCTAGAACAAACTGTAAAAATAATACATATTTGCTGGTAATAATCGAAACCTGCTAAAAGAAACTACCAACGTAGTATCAGTGCTGTATCCCTTTATTACTAACGGATCTATATACTATATTATATATATAAGCTGAATAAAGAACACAATCTCTTTAAAACACAAACAGCATTGACTATATTTTTTAAAATTTTATCAATATGGCAACTTTTAATTTTGGTGCGTTTATTTTCATTGTAGAATATTAATATCAATGTTATTTTGTTTGGAGAAATGTGAATATCTTTTATTATATTGGAAATAATGTAAGTGATTTTTGTTATAAAACTTTTAACTATTTAAATATATTTAGTTCTTAAAGCATATTTTTTTACACTATACAACAAAAAAGTTATTTCCTTACATAAACGAAAAACTTGGAAGACAATAAAACTGACCAAAAAATGATTTTATGTTAGAAATGTTATAAGATGATAATATAATAAGTAACGATTAAATATAATTAAATTTTCTGGTGTTAAAAAAATCATTAGATATGAAATACTAGATTTTATATCCGCTAAAGAACTGTAATGACTAGCCGCTTAAGGTCAACAAGGATTGTTGACTTTGGGCCTTAGTTGAGAAGTAATGGAATACTGTGATAAGCTTAAATAAGCAACTAATATATACGCTGATAGTGAAGATTTGTAGTAAGGACTATAGAAAGTATATCAACTTTACCAGCAACACTTCTAACGAAGATTTTTGAAGGATTTCTGTTGTAGGATAAAATATATCAAGGAATTTTTTTGATACTATGCATTATTATTCTTAGCGCTACAAATAGCAAGTCCAAATAGCAAGAGTGTTGTTTTTATATTATTTCTGCAGTTATAATTACATAAAATAAATCCTATATATTTAATTAATTTCTTTCATTTTGAAGGGATTTCTGTGATATCAACACCGTTTGTAAGTACCATCCAGATGATGGTGTTATGGAGGACTACAGCACAGGTGATGCAATATGTTTAACATGTGGCCTCATTGTTGGTGACTGTTTCGGTGAAGAAAACAATGCGAATGAAGTTAATGCTTTGGGTACAGGCTATATTAAAGATTTGACAAGTGCAGGAAACAATGAAGTGCCCAAAAAGAAATCAAAAAAAACTGTGAAGATAGAAAATACACTGAATAATTCATCTAATATGAAAAATGAGATTGATATTCTCACAGGTACGAAAATTATTGCACAGGTAGGTCTTCGTATGCACACATCTGGTAAAATTATAACATCGGCAAATGTGCTATTTAAAAAGGTAAAAATTGGCATTTTATGCAAATTTTATTGGAAAAAGATTTTTTAATCCCTTTCTTAGTTACTCAACAATTTTGAAATCAAAGAGTATTGCGTTAAGTATCAAGCTGTCTGTTGTTATTTTATAAGTTGTTGTCGAAGAAATATACCAGTGACATTTAAAGATATATGTTTCGTGAGCAAAATTCGAGCAAAAGAACTTAATAATTGTTATGAGGCTGTTGCAAAATTTTTGGACAAAACTATTAAATGGCCCAATTATTTAACACGTTTTTGTGCATTAGCCAGTAAGTAAGCTATTCATTAATTAAATATTAACTTAAAATTTTATTATTGGCTTTACTTAGATGTAAGCGATGAGGTAGAAAACAAAGCAGCTGAGATTATTTTAACCGCAACGAAAGTAAAGGATCGCTTGGGTTACGAGCTTGAGTCTGCAATTGCCGCTGGAGCGTTATTTGCTGCTGCTAAGGTTAGCATAATTGTTCGGAAGCAAATTTAGCTTCTTTAACTAGATGTACACTAGCGCCAATAAAAGCTTGGCGGCGCCACTTTGCTGATTGAACAGTTATGATATACTTTAATACATATTAGTGATGGAATGTATTTAATCTAATATTGATCTGTTCATTTTCACCGCTTAAGCAACATTGTGGTGACACTAAGCGTTTTTTTTTTGTCAATGTGCACTGGCAGATCTACAAATTTATAACCACTAAATTCTTTATTTGCAGATACTGAAAAGAAGAGTGGCACTTAAACCATTGTTAGCAGGTTTTCAGTTAAGATATGGTATAATAACTTATATATGCAATGAGTTCTGCAAATCTAAAGAATTACTGCAGTCGACTAGAAAACTTAGGAAATAATTTATATCAAAAATATTTTTGGTGTTTCTTTCAATTATTATTATTAAATTAATATTTTCAACAAAAAAGAGGAATAAAATAAAAACAAAACAACCTTTAAACATATAAAAAAATTTTTTTGAAAAATAAATAAGTTATAATTTATGAATAATTATAAAATAAATAAGCATGATATATACTTAAATGTAAATAAAATACTTTAGACTCTATAAATACCTTTCTTAAATCGTAAAATTTTAAAATACCGGATTAAAATGAATTATGTCTAATTGCTAACTACACTCATGAGCTATTAAAGTTTTATGATTCTTAAATAAACTGCAGATTTGTTGTTGGTTTATTGTATTTCATATGCTGTATAGGTCAGTAAGCATAAAAAGTTGTTGAAATCCTTTAGTTGAATGACCGCCTCCCACATGTGAACTCCCACATGTAATTATGAAAATATGATTTCTCATTTGCTCACCTGAGTCTACTTAACATTTTAGAAAATAAAATTTCAACCGCATAAAAAGTTCTGTCTAC